TGGTGGTGGAATGTTGATGGTGGTAGTGAAGGAGGTGGTGGTGGAGGTGGAATGTTGCTGGGGTGGTGCAGGTGGTGGTGGTGGAGGTGGGGTGTCGATGGTAGAAATGGTATTGTCTGCATGGCTTTCCTACTCAGTGCCAGGAGCACTCCAGTTTTCCTGTGTGGACTTGTCCATCAAGATGTCTCCCTGTTCAAGGCAGGGCTCGTGCTTTAGCAAGCCCAGAGGACCCTCTCCTGGAGTGTGGGTTGATGGTGCAGGCAGGTCGTGGCAGGTGCTGCTCCTGCAACAGCGGCACTGCAGGGGTGGCCTTGTGCTGGAGGCCCATGCCCATTCCCAGGTCCCCATCTCTTCCTTGATTCTGGGTTCCTTGGCCTCCATAAGGTCCTTGGTGCCAGAGGCCTTTCTGTCACCGGTGTGGAGAAGGCCGGAGACTGTGCGAGAGGATGGGCCTCCGTGAGTGGCGGTGAGAATCCCTCCCAAGCTTGGAGCACTGTCTAGGTGGCCAGTTCAACAACAGTGGCGAGGCAGTGGCTCTGTGCTCCCCGCAGAGGAGGACCCAGGCCGGGGGACTTACACCGTCTCTTCCAGATAGCACGTGTGGAATCTGTCCAAACACCAGTCTCACTCCAGCAGTGTCACACCAAGTGTCTGCCCTCCCCAAATTCGCCCTTCCTGGACTCTGCTAGACACCTCCAGCCTGGCACGCCTGGCATGGCGGGGGCCTGAAACCCTTCCACTCCGGAGGCTGAGCCCAGAGGAACTGAGCCCAAGAGTTCCGGGCCAGCTGAAGCAACACGAGGAGACTGCACCTCGGAGACCAGGAGGACAACTGCAAAAGCCACTGCTGACGCCCTTCTGGCAGGCCCAGCTCCGCCAGCGCCGGGGCCACACCAAGAGGTTTGGCTTCTCACATCTGCTGGGTTCCTCCCAAGAGGGAAATGTCAAGTGAGAGAGGCCCCAAGGCCACATGGTAGTGTGACCTGCCTACACCCTCCTTGGCCCCAGGCCACACTCTCCTACCGACTGGTCAGGAATCTGCTGCCAAAAGGTCTTCACATTCTGAATGAGCAAGTGATCAGCCCTCAGTCTGACTAAGCTACAGAGTCTGGGAGCCACGGGCCTCCTCGGCAGCCCTCACCACCAGCCAACTACCAGGCCAGCATGCTGCCTCCTAGACCCCAGGGCACCCTGGGCTAGAGGGAGGATCTGGCCTGCCAAGTACCAG